ACGACACCTTTCCCCTGGATATATCTAAAATAGTCTGCTAAAAAAAAAATTTTTTTTTTTTTTTTCGTTGTGGTGGTAGGACCGAAAGAGGAGAAAAAATTTTAAACATTAAAAAAAAAAAAAAAAAACAAATCGATAATAAATTCGATTAATTTTTCAAAAATTTCGAGATTCGATCGATCGAAAAAAAACCTTGTGACGACATCCTCTCTGATAATCGATATATCGATCGATCGTTTTGAATTTTATTTCGTTAAAAAAAAAAAAAAATTTAAAATTAAAAAAAAAAAAAAAAAAAAAAAAAGTTTTATGAATTTTCCACCACCCCTCCTCCCCACCCCCTCGTTCCCCTCGGGCCACTTCCAAATTTTCCAGAAAAAACGGTACGAAATCAATGAATAATAATAATGATAATAAGCTTCCAGAGAGACGTTAAGTAAATTTTAATAATTTATATACATTAAAATACGTTAATTAAAAAAAAAAAGGGAAAAAAAATTGGGGGGGGGGGAAATTTTTTTTGTTAAAAAAAAAAAGATTTTCCAGGTAAAATCCAGGGCACGACGTCACATAACCTCAGGGATAACGTACAAATGAATATAAATTTACATTTCCACACCGAAAAAAAAGTAAAAAAAAATTATTTAATAAAAATATTCTCGTATTTTAATATTACTTAACGGTTAATAACTTTATAAACATGACGCCATTTTTTTTTTTACCCTCCCACCGCCCTCTTTATTAAAATTAAAAGAAAACGGAAATGGATTCATTTTTTTTTTTTTTTTTACGCACACTCAAAATACCTTCATAAACATTAATAGATTTCTAGAAACGACAAATAAAAAAAAAACCCACAATTCCACTGCCTTTTTGAAAAAAAAAAAAAAAGAAAACCGGAAGTTAATTTTTAAAAATGTAAAGGAAATAAATGTACCGAAAATAAAATATATCGATGGGTTTAAAAAAAAAAAAAACGTTAAAATAAAAAGGGGAAAAAAACGGTTAAATAAAAAATAATATTTATATATAAAAAAAAAAAAAATTTAAAAAAACTTTTGTCGCATTTTTATAAAAAAAAATGTCGCCTAAAAGCAAAAAAGAAAAAAGTTTTTTTATTTTAATTTTTTTGCGACAAATCTTTTTAATTTTTTTTTTTTTTTTTTTTTAAATCTTGAAATTTAAAGAAGAAGAAATTAAAAAACGTGACTTTTGAGGGATTTAAAAAAAAATGGCGCGATTAAATTTATATCTCGAAACGCCGGAAGTGATAATGACGAGAGAATCGAAATAAAAAACGATATTTTAATTATTAACGTTTATGAATTTTTTTTCTTTCTCTCTATCTGACAAATTCACCTCCTTAGAATTATAATCCTTCGTTTATTTTTCTGCTTGATTCCGTCACTTCCGGTCATTTTAAAAACGAATGATGATAATAATAATAATAAAAAAACCGCCAGGGACGACGACGATTCGGACAAACGCAGAGTCCTCATAAAACAATTTAATGACCACATTTTCCTATTTAATCATGCATGAAACGAAAATAATGTTTTTATTATTATTATTATCATTATCATTATCATTATTATTATTATTATTATTATTATTATTATTATTATTATTATTATTATTATTATTTTGCTGCTGCTGTTTTTCTTTTCGAGCTCGAAAAAAACTTTTTAAAAAATAAAGTTTTTCATCATTTTTCATAATTTTACGAACAAACAAAAAAATTTGTCATTTTTATCGTTTGCCGTCAATTTTCTCGTTTCTTTCAGAATCTTGTCCTTTTTTTTATGCTTTTATTTCGACTTTTATTATTTGAATACAATTTTTTTTTTTTTTTTGTGTGTGTGTATTATCGATCACTGTTGGATGAAGCAAATTTTTTTTATTCTTTTGACACGTCACCGAAAAAATTATTATTATTATTATTATTATTATTTTCCATTTCGAACGCGATATGATTCCATGCAAACTTGTTGGAATTTTTAAATATTTATTCCAGGCTTTTCTTCCAGGATTCCTTCTTAGGTACTATTTATAATATTTTCTGGAGAATGTGGGACGTCCCACATAGTGCGATTTCCTGGATGGTGGAATTTCTTCTTTTAAATTCTACAGAATTTTCTTTAAATTTTTTTTCGTTGAATGTGTCATGGCTCCCAGTGATGCTCCCACGATGACCGGAATCGTTTCTGTCTTTACTCCCCACATCCTGACTATTTGAACCTTTTGCCCCCTTCTTTGGGTATCTGGTGCTTTTTCCGTTGGTACGGATACTTCAATAAGCTCCCGCCATTTTTCCGCATTATGCTTCTCAGGATGATATCCGGTTTGTTAGCTGGCACAGTTCTGTCAGTGTGTGGATTTGTTGATCATACAGAACCGCGCACGGTCCCGCTGTCGAAACCTATTGTACCACTCCTTGGGTAATCCATCCATTCCATATTCACGACAGATATTCCATTGGATTATTATTATTATTATTACGATTTTGTTTTTTTAATAAAATAACATTAATAACAAGAAAGTAGCAAAAAAAAAAAAAAAAATTAAAGTCAATAAAAAAAATAAGAAAAGTTTTTTTTTTTGAAAAAGAAAAAATGAAGAAGAAAATGCAGAAAACCTGCCCCTTTCCCTCCCCCCATCGAAAAAAAAGTAGGAAAAATAAAAAAAATAAATTTTCTTTTCGTGTAATTTTAAAAAGTTTTTTTTTTTAGTAAAAAAAAAAAAAAATTGTTAGAGATTTTCTTTTCATTACATTTCGAATGATTTTGAACAAAAATCGAAAAGAAAATTTTTTCTTTTCTAATAACTGATACAGGTAAAAATAAAAAGAGAGAGGGAGAGAGAGAAAGATAGATAGATAGATAGATAGATAGAGAGAGAGAGAGAGGGAGAGAGAGAAAGATAGATAGATAGATAGATAGATAGAGAGAGAGAGGGAGAGAGAAAGAGAGATAGATAGATAGAGAGAGAGAGAGATATGGGGGACTTATCGCGCGTAGTTTTGAAACTTTTCTTTTATGTGTTTTTTTTTGCCAATGATAATTTATTATTATTATTATTATTATTATTATTATTATTATTATTATTATTATTATTATTATTATTATTGTTATTATTATCATAATATGAAAATTTATCAAATGTAAAATAAACTAAAAAAAAAAAATCTTTGTACTTTTTTTTACCACCCCCCCTCTTTCCCCTCTTTCTCCCACCCGTAAAATCATAACTCATATTATTTATTTAATAAAATAAAATAAAATAAAATAAATTTTGTTTGGTAATGTAAACATTATTATTATTATTATAAGTTGACACGCAAAATTTTATATATATATATATATATTAATATGTTCGTAAAAGAAAAATTATTTAAACGTTACCATTTATTTATTATTATTATTATTACTACTACCGAAGGGTAAAAAAAAGGTTCGTTCCTTCTCCGAAAATTACCTTTCATAAATTATTAAATGTTTTTTTTTTTTGCTGACGGCCATCAAAATAATAATAATAATAATAAGAGAAAAGGAAAGGAAGGAAAAAAAATGTTAAAAGGAAATAATATCCAGAAAATTTTTTTTTGAAAAAAATGCCTTAGCTAAACTGCTGATGCGAAGATTTTAAAATGAAAATAAAAAACGGGGGGAGGGGGTGGTGTGGTGCGGGGGAACCTCCCCAACGTTTAAAAACAAAAGGAAAAGTGTCAAACGAGAATATAAATTTTTTTTTGTAGGAGAAAGTAGGGGGAAAACGAATAAGAAATTTAAAATAATAGAAAGAAATGAATGAATGAATGAATGAATGATTGAATGATTGACTGATTGAATGGAAAATATTGAAATCATTTCCGATCTACAGGTTGTTGACGAATGATTGAAATTTACATAAACCTTTTGTCAAACATTTAAAAAAAAAAAAGAAAATTTTTTTTTTTTTTTCAGAATAAACAAAATGTCGGCGGAAATGACGGATGCGGCAAAAAAAAAATTAAATCTTGAAAAGGCGGCAAATTTTATGCGACAATACAGAGATCCGACAAGTAGAGAATTGAAAAAATTATCCGCAAATCAATTCATGGAAGTCTGGAGCCACTACGACAAAGACGGTAAGTTAATTAAAGATTTGATTTTAATGTTGCGTCAAAGGTAAAATAAAAAAGGAAAAAAGGAAAATGGAGGAGGAAGTGGGATAAAATCCTCACGAAAAAGAAAATAACAAAGGACTCTTTTCGTAAATCCTATCTATTTTTTTGAATGACGTTTGTACCCCCCCCCAATATACAATTTTCTCTCCGCCATATTTTTTCTTTTTCCACGACAATTCACCGTTTAATTACCGTTTAATTAAATTAATTTCGTCATTTAAATCTCTACACAAATAAAATAACAATAATAAAATTTTTATCATTCTTTTTAATTTTCTCTCTCTCTCTCTTTCTCTCTTTCTTTCTTTCCCCCCCCTCCCATTTATTCACAGTTTGTTTATGTCATCGAAATATCTAAAGACACGTTAAAAAAAATTCTATTTTTCCAATTCGAATGTCTTCGGAAAAAAATTCATTTTATACCATGTCCGATTTCCTGTCGCGTGATTTTTTTTTAAAAAAAAAACCGTTAAAATTTCAAGGTCAATCGATGTGATGACGTCACAAAGAGTAAATAAATAATAATTTAAAAACCAAAACAAAGTCATATGCAATTATATATATATACACTTTTTAAAAAAGTTGTTTAAGTTTTGATTTATAATTATTTTTTATTACTCGTACTAACGTCTGAACGTATTCTACTGCCACGATAAAATTTTTTATATATTTTTTTGTTTTTTAATTTTAAAGGTAACGGTTACATAGAGGGAACTGAATTAGATGGATTTTTAAGAGAATTTGTTTCGAGTGCCAACGCGACCGATGTCAGCCCCGAGGTAAATCATCATTCACACGTGACGTCACGTAAAATTTAAATTTTAAATAAAAAATTTTTCGTATTTTTTTTCCATCGTAGGCCGTGAGCGATTCGATGTTAGTCGAATTGAAACAATGTTTTATGGAAGCTTACGATGATAATCAAGATGGAAAAATTGATATTCGAGAATTGGCTCAACTTTTGCCAATGGAAGAAAATTTTCTTCTCCTCTTCCGGTTTGATAATCCTTTAGAGTCGAGCGTTGAATTTATGAAGGTGAGAAAGAAAAAAAAAAAAAAACGTTTTTTTTTTTTTTCTTTATTTTTATTTTTAAGCACGCCATTTCTTCTGCCACGTTGATTTATGACGTGGGAATTGTTACGGAATCCAACCTTTCTTCTCCTTTTTTCTTTTTATTTTCTTTCTTTTTTTTCCCCATCCTGAATTTCATTATTTTAAAATATCCCGACCGTCGTCAGTCGTCGTGAACCTTTTTTTTTCCCTTTTGTGAAAAAGGTTATTTTTTGGAAAATTCCTTTTTTTTTTCTCTTTATTCACTGTTGAAATTTGGCAAGTCGTTCATTCCCCTTAAAGTGATTTGAAACGTATAAAATCCTTTCGCTTTATTTTTCCCGCCAATTATTTCCTTTACGTTTTTCCTTTTTCTTCTTTTCCGTTCATTTCCGCATAAATACCCGTAAACGATAGATAATCGATCGATCGATTGATCGATTTATCGAATCGATTATTAAAAATTTTTTTTTTTTTAAATAATCATTTAAACAATAAATTTCCTAATAATAATAATAATAATGATTTATGAAAAAAAATTAATATAATGAACATCATCAATGATTTTATTTAAACCTTTATTAAAAATCGTTGGGGGGCGGGGGCCCTACGGGGTTTCCACAAGCGAAACGTTTTTTTGCTGCTGCTGTTGTTTTTTGAAAAACAGGTAAAACGAATCGATATTAATGTGGTCATAAAAGAAATTTTAATTTATTATGACAATTTAAAAAAGAAAATTTGAAAAAGATTTATAATTAAATATTAATAAATCAAATCGGGGGATGGTGGTGGGGGTTAAACGAACGAACAAGATGGCGCCAAAATTTACGAATTTTTCGTATTGTCAGCTTATTTTTTTTTTTTCCCTGTAAAATTTACGGGCGATCGATTTTGGTAAAAATGCGTTTTAAAAAAAATCCTATTTAAAATTTCATTATCATTATTATTATTATTATTATTTCACCAGAAGATTTTTAAAACAAAAAGAAAAAAACCATGTGTGTGTGTTTTTAAAAAATAAAAAAAAAACAAACAATAAGAAGATTTCGTTAAAGTCGGAAAAAAAAAAATATAAAAAAAAACGGAAGGAAGAGATAGAAAAAGAGAGAGAGAAAGAGAGAGGGAGAGAGAAAGAGAGAGAAAGAGAGAGAGAGAGAAAAAAAAAGTTTAATTTATTACGTTATTATACTTTAAAATTTTTTTTTTTTACCTATAAGAACGTTAACTTTATTATAAGTTTATCGAATTTTACTACCGTAAGAGAAAAGTTTTGATTGATTGATTGATTGATTGATTGATTGATTGATTGACTGATCGATCAATATATTAATTTAATAAACCGACATAATTTTCCTCCTTTAAAATCACTTTAATGAAAAATACAAATTTCTAGGGGGTTCTTTCTCAACAATTTATCACTTTTTTTTTCTTGAGTATATTTAAGGTTAGTAGTGGGTCCCCACAAAAAGGTTAGACAAAACTGAGTGCGAGGGAGTGGGGGGGGTTTTAAGGGTTTTTTTTTGTAATTAACGATGATTAAAAAAGGGAAAACCGGGAACCGGGAAAGATAATGAGAAAATATTACAGGAAGAAAAAGTCAAATAATGTAAAAAACCGTTAAGGGATAAAAAAAAAAATTATTCGTCCATTTTGAAATTTAAAACGTCACGAAAACTTTTTTTTTTACGGTGATAATAATAATAATAATAATAATAATAATAATAATAATAATAATAATAATAATAATAATAATAATAATGATAAGATTCGAAAATTTGGCAAAAAAGCAAAAAAAAAATTTTTTTTTTTTAATGGAAGTTTTGATAAGGGGGAAAATTTTTTTTAGTCCCAAATCTAAACAAACAAACAGTTCAAAACGAAAACGTTTTACTTAATTCCAGAAAATAATTCCTGGATAAATGACGTCAAAAAAAGGGAAGAGACGTTAAACATGTAAATATAAATCCCTCGCGTTGATTCGTTGAAAATTTTTTTTTTTATCGTTTCTCGTTTTTAATTTTTATAGCAATAAAAATTGAACGGAAAAAGTTAAAAGTTAAAATTAAACTAAATAAAAATAAATAAAAAAACTCTCTGGAGAATTAAAAAGCGACGGAGAAAAAAAAAATTAAAAATTTCTCCAGGAGGATAAGGAAAATTGACTTACCCTTACCGTCGTTTAATTTTCTTCTGTCTCTCGATGACCTTCTTCATTAATTTCAAAAGAATTAAACTTTTTTTCCTCACTATTTTTTTTTTCTCCAGGAAGAGGAAAATTCCAAAATCCCTATGAACCTGAAAAAATAATAATAATAATAATAAGAAATTAAATAAAGTGAAAATGGAAAATTCAAAATGTTTTCTATGGGATTTCTTTTTATCTTCATTTTTTCGGGGGGTTATTGCAAAATTTTAAAGAGTATTTGGGGAGGGGAGTTACTTTTTTCTCCAGCTGGAGAAAAAGCAACGGCAAAAAAAATTTTACATAAATTTTGATATTGAATGAATATTGACCGAAACAACAAAAAGTTATCACAATTTTAACTCGAGTTTTCCTTTAAAAAGATTTTCCTCGATTTTTAAATTTAAAATGGTTTTTCCCGTTGTTTTCCTGGAAAACGAGTCAGGTTTTGTTGAGACAAACAGGATAAAAGAGGAGTCTATGGAGACTCATTTTTATTTTTATTTTTTTATATCTCAATGGAAAGTCGAAAACATTTAAATTCAAGTGTTGTAGAAATTTCGGTTTCCCCCACCTTTCTCCCCATTCCCCCTCCCCCCTCCTCCCCCTCTTTTGTTATATAAACTGCCTTTTTTTATCTCTCTCTCTCTCTCTCTCTTTTTCTAATTCATCTAAATCATATAATTTTTTATAAAATAAATAAAAAACTTTACAGTTTCCAACAACAATAAAAAATAAAAATTTCACCCCCCTTTCCCCTTTTCCCCCTCCCCACTTTTTTTCCTTTGGAAAACATTGCATGATATTTTCATCCCCTCATTTTCAACGTTATTGATTGAATTTATTATTAAACTGTTGATTAAAGCAAAATGTTTTGCTAAAAAAATATATATATAATGTTTACAACAATTTGGCAACATTGATTTTAAATAACCCGAAAAAAAATTTTTTTTGTCAATTTAACCGCACGACAAACAAACAAACAAACAAAACAAACAACAATCGTCGTGTCGATTGTTTTTGTTTGTTTTGTTTTGTTTTTTAACAAAGAATTTAAAATCTGTTAATTACAATAAATTAAATTTACTGGAATTTAAATTAAAGCCACAATTTTATGTCCATTTTAATAAAAATTCCAGACAAATTTTATTGCCCTACTTTTTTTTTAAAAAATCGAGGAAATGATAATAATAATAATGATAATAATAATAATAATAATAATAATAATAAAACAAAAACTTTTTTTTTTTTTTTTATTGGACAACTAAAAAGTTTTTGAATTTTATTTTTTTATTTTTTTTGTTTTATATAAAAACTTTCATTTTAGGGGTTTGTGTGCGTTTTAGAAAATCTTTTTTTTAAAAAAAAGGAAATTTTCTTTAAATTCAAAATGGCAGAATTTCAAATCACGTGATAAAACTTGTACTATGGAAAGAAAGAAGCTAAAAAAAACCTTTTTCCCACGTCTTTTTTTTTTTTTATTCCCGGATATTTATAGCAGACTTTTCCTTCCCATATACCTTTCTTTTACTTTCTTCTCTCTCTCTCTTTCGCCCCCCTCTTACCCCCTCTATTCGTTTCCATCCTTTTCCGTTTTGGCTTAAATACGTTTTTAAAAAATTTTTTTTTTGGCCGTTTTTAAATTACAGATATGGCGAGAATACGACACGGACGGAAGTGGATTCATCGAAGCAGACGAATTAAAAAATTTTTTGAGGGATTTATTGAGAGAAGCAAAAAAAATAAATGACGTGTCAGAAGATAAACTCATAGAGTATACGGATACTATGGTACGTAATCAATCATTTATACAAATAAAAATTTATTTTTATTGTTTGAAAAATTCGAATTTTTTTTTTCAGTTACAAGTATTCGATTCGAATAAAGATGGACGACTGCAATTATCAGAAATGGCCAAGTGAGTGTTTTTTAAACAAAATATTTTTTTTTAATTTTTTTTTTTTTGTTAAAAAAAGGAATTTACAAAAATATCCTCCTGGAAAACCTTTTCGGTTCGTTGAACTCAAAGTTTTTTTTAATAATATGAGTAAAAAAAAAAAAAAAAAAGGTTTTTCCAGTAGATGCCTAAAATAACTTTTTTTTTCCTTTTTTTCCTTTTTTCCTTTTTTTTAAATATTAACTTTGTTTACCGAATTTAATTAATATTTAACGCTTCAATCAAAATAATCAAAGAATTTCATTATTATTATTATTATTATTATTATTATTATTATTATTATTAAATTTTTTTAAACGTAAAAAAAAAAAAAAATTCTTTTCGAAAACGGAAAACAGAAAAAAAAAAAAAATTTTTTTTACAATTACACATTTTTTTTAATTTCCGGTTCACTTATTTTCATTTTTTTTTCTTTTTTTTTTTTTAATGTTGTACAAACAACAACAACAACAACAAACATTTTTTTATATACTTTTTTTTTTTATTAATTTTTAACCACCGACCGCCATTTTGCAACACGATTTTCTCTCTCTCTCTCGTGTGGTTGTTGTTATAATAACATAATAATAATAATAATAAAAATTCTCATATTTCTCTCTCTCTCACTCTCATTTTATTTTTATCCCTTTCCAAAAGTTTTTCTTTTTTTTTTTTTTTTTCGGGTGGGTGCGAGGGGTTGCGAGGGAAATTTTTTCCCATCTCGTAAAAAGTATTTTTTATTTACGTAAAATGTTTTTTTTTTTTTAAAACAGGTAAGAGAGAAATTTAAAAAAAAATTTTTTAAATGAATGTCATCACGAGAAAAACGTTTGAAAAGGGGGGGGGGGAAAAACATACATTTTCATTTAATGACGTAACAAACAATAACAAACAACAACAACAACAACTAACAAACGATATTTTTTTCCTACATATAAATAAATAAACTAAAAAAAAAAATAAATTAAATATGTATAATTAAAAACATTTCATTTTTTTTTTTTTTTTTTTTTTTCATTTTGAAATTTTCCAAATTGCTTCCGGTTAAGGAAAATTTTCTATGTCGATCCGTTTTCAAGGTAAATTTTATAAAGAAAATTTTTTTTTTTTATTTTTTTTATTTTTTCATTTTCATTCTTTTTTCTAATTTTTTTTCTTTTTTATTCATCACGAGTGAAATTTTTCTTTACTTTTTTTTTTTTTTTTCTATGTGCGTTTTGTGTGTTTGTTTATCACATTTTTTTTTTCGCACCGATTATTTTAAATAATAATAAAAAAAAAAACTTAAAACTAATAAATTTTAATTTAAAATTTTTATTAATTAGGAGGGGCTTGAAGTAAGTCTCAAAATTAAAAAAAAAGGTTTTTCCTTTTTCTCTTTTTTTTTTTTTTTGCTTCTTCTTCTTTTTCTTCTTTTATTATTATTATTATTTTTTGGATGTAAATTCGGGTAGTTTAATTAAGTAATTTTAGCACATTAATTAAAATTTTTGCATGTTTATTATTATTATTATTATTATTACGTGTATTATTTGCATGTTTTGCTCTTTTTTTTCCGCTCTCTCTCTCTCTCTCTCACTCTCTCTCTCTTTCTCTTAATGAATTGTGTATAAAGAAAAAACGAAAAGGTGGAGTGATGATAAATTATTATTTTACGCGCGTTTTTTAAAAAAAAGTATTTCATAGAGTAAAAAAAAAAATGTTTCGAAATGTTTTCAAAACATGAAAACTGTTTGTCCGCGATAAAAGAAAAAAAAAAAGAAAAGGAAAAAATAACGTCAGACGTTCAAAAATTCTTATTTATAAATTTTTCTTTTTTTTCCCCCTTTTTTTTGGGGGGGGGTGGCGAGGGAAGGGTTGGGGTATGGGGGGGTAAAATTTAAAGTGATTTCTTTTCTTTCCCGGTTTTTAAAAACTTTATTTATTTTTTCCATTTTCAAAAAAAAAAAAAAACCTTTTTTTTAAATTTATGTTTTGATAACGTTTTTAATTTAAGTTCCGTTCACTACTCGACCAAAAAATACTTAAATAAATAAAAATAAAAAATATTTATTTACTCTATGATATTTATTTATTTATTTATTTTTTCTTTTCGTTTTATTGAATTTTAATATGTTTATACCGAAAACAAAAAATCAAATTCGATTAAATTTAAAAAAAAAAAAAACGTCTTTTTCTTTTTTCATCTTTTGATTTATCATTATTATTAATATTGATTTATTATTATTATTAATATCACGGTTTTTTTTCAAAAGGATTCCCCCCTCTTCCCCCACCGACTCATTTTTTTTCCCCTCGTTTACTTAATTAAAAAATTTAATAATGATAATAATTCTCTTTTTGATGTATTATCAATGGATTTTTTTCTTTTTTTTTTTTAATTCGTTATAATCATCATCATTATTATTATTATTATTATTATTATTATTATTAATATTATTATTATTATTATTACTTC